CCGGTACACTTTTGTAATTATTTAACGGTTAATACAGAAAAATATTTTTATTAAAATTTAATATTTAAAAAAAATAAATATTTTTGTATTAATTTATGTATAATAATTAATATTATATTATTGTACAAACGTTCTATACTTTTATGCAATATGCATTGAAATAAACGAGAGGAGCTCAGGTGTCTAGTCGATAATGGCGATAATTGATATAGAATTAAGAGGTTTTTTGTAGTGCTCGGTTGTTTGTAACAATAATATCAAATGCGTTTTGAATATACACGTAGGTCAAGAATTATAATTCATAGAAGTATGCATAAATGAAACTAAAATATTTTATAAGAACACTGAACAGACAAAATGATAAATATGAAATAAATTCTAATTACAAAATAAGTTTTACTTTTTAATTCTATTAAATCATCATGTTATTCTGTCAGTATTAGGCTATGGCCTTCGTATGCAATGGTTTATTATTGAATTCAAACAATTAAACACATTTATGATTTATTACAGATGGCTTTTTCAATGAAAAAAATAAAACTATTACATCGGAATGACATCTAAAATTTTTATTTTAAAATTGATTTAACAATTTAATATATATTTATTATTATTATTTCTATTATACCAATTGCTTCTTATTATATATAAATAAATAGATTAATATTGAATTGGAATTAAGGCTGGTTTACACTTATCAACAACTTATCAAAGTAGCCACGTCCGTGAACCACGGATCACTGGATCAGTGTAACTTTGATTCAAATTTCGAGCACTGACGACAGTGTTTACAGTGTAAACTTTACACTGTCAAATGTTGTCTGTCCAAGTAAAATATAAAATAAATAAAATAAAATGTTCTCCCCACGTACGATAATTTTGATACATGTCCTTGCCGGCATGGATCGGACAACACGACTTGTACGAGTTTGTCATACGTACATGTGGTGTGTTTTTATTATCAAAGTAGAATCCGTGCCACTAATTCGTGGTTCACGGACGTGGCTACTTTGATAGGTGTAAACCGGCCTTATGTTAAATTCTTTTTTGAACTTTTGAGCAAAAAATATTATATTGTTTTTGAGAGCGATAATTTGTTTTGCAGCCTGCAGGGAGGGCTGGTTCAACTCGTTTGTGCACACTTCCTACTTTTAAATTACACAAACCTACCTACAAGAATACTAGATGATTATTTACTATGATAACTATAATTATTGTTTAATAATCAAATTTTAAAGTTGATAATTTTTGATTATCAGTTGTCACAATAGCTGATTCATTTTTACTAACGAAAAGTATTTTACTGTTTATAATAATCTAACTGCTAGTTAGCACTAACAAAAACATTGTTATAATGGTCTGGTGTATACTCCCCGATAAAGTCCCCAGTGGGACTCCCCACTACGCTAAACTATCTGCTAGCTTAACTTTCAGTTAAATCAAATTTAGCTGGACATTGTAATAATGTCCCTAAGGTTAGCCGTTAGGTTAGGTTAGGTTATGTCACACATTTTGAGAAATTATCCAATAAAATATTAGTGATCCAAACTGACATAAACTTATTTCTATGGCAATATACATATATAAACATTTAATATTATAATCATGCGTGTATTGAATTAATGAAAATTTAAAATGTCATGTATAGAGTAATTATTATTTGATTCATATAAAAATAAATAAATGACACTCACATGCAGGGCTGTATTAGACTTTAGAATAATAAGGTCCTATAAGCACTGTGCCTAGAGCAGAAGGGCCTACGAAAGTTGTATGTTTTTATTTTCTTATTAATATTATAAGGTCATATTCGATCCGTACACGTTAACACAACAAGTGAAATATTATACGTATAAAAATGTATTGTTAAAAATAATAATTTTACTCTTGTCTACTATATTTACATTTTACACTCAATGCTCGTTACCTATCGGCTTTCGTAATTCTTAATTATCTATTGAAATCAGATGGGATAACCAAATAAACCAATAAACTGTCGCTGGAATACGACAAAGTATGATAAATGAAACCCCGATTTCAAACTGTTAAGAGTATTTTAGGAAATATTTCGTAACATGATATATAATATTTTACCCTACCAATTTGATTGAAATCATAGAATATAATATTATATAATGTCTTTATGGTCAAAATTATTTCGTATTATAATTATTATAATATTACAACATTTTATTATTCCTTGCCAATTGCCCGTATTTTGTACAATATCGTTTATCGTCAAACGTTACAGAAACGTTTGACTAACTTTACACTATAAACAATTTCAAAACAGGTATTTTAAAATTTAAATCTATATTTTATGTTAGATCTATTAATTAATAACATAATATTAACATCGCATTTTATATTAAGTAGTATAGGTAATATTATTGGTAAATTTGATCAGTTATTCGAATAATTTGAATAATTAGATATTGATTTAATTGTTCTCCACAAATTACTATGAAAAAAAAGGATGTAGAATCAAAAATAGTCTATAATGCTTTTTACATTTATTTAAATATAGCCGGACAATGAAAATAATAAACTTATGTTCAAATAACATCATGTGTTATAGTTACATAGTACATAACGAATGATTATATATATATATTATATATATATTTTATTATATTATATATTATCATAGCAATAATTATACATCTTAAATTACAAATTGTAAATTAAAGAAAACTTATTTGCGCATTATTTTAGTGTTTATAGACGTAGTTTTTATACCTACTTTATACTGCGAAGATAGGTAACCTTGTTTTTGTATAAGATGAAACTACCTTGAATTAGGTATTCATTACTTAACAGTACATATTATATCGAATGAAAAAGATCTAAGATGTGAATAATATTATATTACACAGTTTAAGTTTTGTTTATTTCTGTAAATTATTTTTTGGACGCTTGTTCGTTACGACTTACCGACATTTCCTGATTCCGTCTCACTAACGAGCAACGGTCTATACAAAATAAACCTTGGAACTTTCAGTTTAACGAATAATGAAACAACAACGCTTATGGACTAATATAGTATTATATAGGATCAATGGTTATCGTCTGTTTTTTTTATAGAGTGCAAGTAGTACTTTGATCTCTTAAAATAATAATAATAATAGTTTTTTCTTCACGAAAATAATTCTAATTACTAAAAAAACATATTAGGACAATACGTATATGTGGCAAATAAGTTAAAAGTAGGCATCTATATAAGTATACAGAATAAAAAAAATGTATAGATCTATTTTTAATACATATTATTATTAGTTAATACTTTAAGAGTTAATAAGGGCAGGTTGAAATAATAATAATTTAAATAGATTATGTTTCTGACAATTTATATAATAACAAGTCTATATTACTATTTGAGTTTTCCACAGACAAGAATATTTGTAGGGGTATATTAATCATAAATACATAGATTTATTTCTATTATTAATTGGTTAGTCATATAATTTTAGTGTTCAAGAAGTTCAGGACAGTCTATAATATTATGAAATAATTTAATAAAAGTCACAATTTTAAAGAAACTATAAGACTTGTATTGTCGTATCCAGAATGAGGGATTCCTTAAATGTTTGTAAAGTTTTTATTTTCTAAAAACAGGTACACGTTTTTGGCTTTAAGTACAAAATTAATTTAGAAATCCTATAGGTAATCTATGTATACTTAAATAAGAGGTATTTGCAAACTTTTTAAAAATAATTTTAAATTTCAACGATTTTCCTAATACACCATTATCATTGCAACTTATTATATTATACAATTATTGTAAACAATAATAATTTAATTCGTTTTGAACACAACAATAAATCATAGAAATAAATATAATATAGTAGGTACGTTTTAAATACTTCTCTGGTGCGATTGTTTAGATTTAGACAAACGTGGTATGATAATCATATGCATGCAAATAGTTTAAATTCCGGAATATTAAAAAAATTATACTTTATAGGTACTATATTACTATCATAAATTCATAGATATTGTTTAAAACACTTTAAAATATAAATTTTATAATAAGATAAAAGATAATAATAGTATTATATTCAATCAACAGTGTTGATAATATCGCGGTTTTCAATTTTTGTTGTGACTTTGTGAGCGATTGCGTTCGTATAATTTACACAATCGCACGCGAGTACAATATCAAAATACAAAAGTCCGTCTTGTATCAATTGATAAATCATTCAACAGTTATAATAACTTATCCTACATAAACGGTACAAAAATACTATTCATAAATTATGCTGAGCTGCGAAACAATTTCACAATAGTTCATTACAATTTAATAGACCAATCGTGGGCCACTAAATATGTAAAGTGGTGCTTATACACAGTTTAGGCGATTAATCGCCGAATTTTAATGTATTATATTTTGCGCAATTAATCGCCTAGTGTGTTAGCCACTTACGAAGGTACCATTACCTCGTGGTTGATCCATCAACAATTGTTTAACAATTGTTTATGCAAACATTATTAATATTACTATGGTGCGATCGGAAACATAAAGGTTTACAAACAATTAGACAGGTGTACCCAAAACCGGATTATGTTGGGTCATAATTTAATACTATACTCATAACATTATATTGATATGCTTAGATCTGATAATAATATAATATTATTGGCAAAGCAACGTCGTTATAAAATATTATGACGTTAGTTCACCGATTAAATCTACGAATCTAGATGACCATTAACCAGTGCGCATACTCGATTAATGCTATAAACTTATAAACAACGGTGTAGTGGCAACTGGCGGATAATATTTTCGCGGAATGCGTGTAATAACACAGCGGCGTAATGCAATATTAATATTATAATATTATTATTTTTGCATAGGACCGAGCGCGGAGATGGCAAAACCCGCGTAACTCGTATGATAATTTCAAATACCTAATAAACAACAATAACGAAACGCGGTTGGCGGGACGCGGCGACGACGACGGCGGACTCGTTCACGGACGTCGTTCACAAAAGCGGTTTTTTTTCCGATCGAGGCGATTATTACCGGTGGGCAGGGCAAGACACGGAGGTGTGTAGCGACCGCGATAATACCGCGACGAGGCAGTGCAAGCGTGCATGCGCGTCGCAACCGTCCACGGTTTTCCGGTAGTCCTCCCAACCTTTGGCCCAGAATTCTTTTGTTGATTTTTTTCCCGCCGATCACCGCCGCCCTCTTCGGATTCTCCGACCGCTGCAGCCGCATGCCGCGCGAGTTTTTATTCGCTTAAATAATAATCACAAATCGTTCGTCGGTTCCCGCGGCCGCCCTTATCGCCATGTCGTCGCCTTCGTCGCCGCTGCATTGTCGCCGTACGCCGTCGATGCATACGACCATCGCCTTGGTGGCCGCCGTGGCTGTTGCGGTCGCCGTCCACTCGACGGTCGCCGCCCCGCAGTCCGACGGCGACGCCGTGATCACGATCGCCGGCCAGCAGTGCAAGTGCGTGCCGTTCTACTTGTGCGAGTCGAGCAATACCGTCGACGTACCCTCTGGGTAGGTGTAACGATTACGTGCATATTATTATACAGTACTTGGTGGGTTGGGGAGAGGGTGCTAGTGGGGAGCCGAGTTCAACTATGCTTGGAACCATAAACCTCTGAGCTTGAGTTCAGCTTCTCGGATTTTTACGTTCTTTGACCGGAGGTACATATTGTTTAATACCTAATACTTTTGGTAATACGAATAGCGATCCCACAGAATCAACTGACGTGAAGGTGCTTCGACAAACTTACAAACTCTGCAAAATCATGTCTGAAGTGGTCTGTGTGCCAGGCCTTATTTTTATGTTATAGGGATTGTCCAATGATGCTTATTCTACAGGTTGTCCATACTCCCCTCCTATTCTATTTTCTCGCTATTTTCGTACAGTTCTTGGAATAGTGCATTTTGTTTAACATTCGTCAGTTGTGAGTTTAGGACAATTAGTCAATTTAGGCTGCACCGTAGCTTATAAACAATACAACTAATAATAATAATATCATAGTAGGTATATTTATGTTTTTTATGTGGTGATTTTCTTTATAGGTAGTAGGTACCTAATTGTTATTTTCATCAAATGTTCCTCGCTGCCTTTACATTTAATTGATTTACATTCTATAGGTACATTAGAATATAATTTATAATAATATACATATATTTTACCTACGTATTGCTTTATTATGCCACATTCACACACTAAAAATTACAGTATAATAATATCATTAGAGACAACATTTAATAAAAATTATGTTCATCGAAAAATATTTTAATATTTCGAGTATGGTTCAATTTTAGATGCAGAACGTTTCACTGTAACTGGTATCAACACATCAGCCATAATGATACAAAACAACTCTGAACTCCTGTACCCTGCCCCGCTATTATTTTGAAAGACTCCTATAATGACATCTCTATTATTTGTTTATAGCCTATGTGGCTATGTATGTTAAGTTTCAATCTATTGAGATGCTGAAGACACTTTTTTGAATATTTAAATTTATTTTCAATTCAAAAAAGTGTCATGAAAAAAACAGTATATGTATATAATATTGGTTAGTATTTTAATATATTTTTGAATTCGGCAAAAATATGACCATACAGAATGCAGTCTTATAATGTAGTATTAAAGTATTTACATATTATTTTTTTGGAGTATTTGAGATACGCGCCACTCATTCGTTATTATTATTCTTGCATTGCGATAGTCCAAATACACGTCTAATACTCTAATGTTTATAATAAGTAGATAAGTTAAAAGGTAAGGTTAACTAATTATGGAGGTCAGATCCATATCTAGCTAATGATTTAAAACATAAAAGTATTATAGGATTATACAGAAAACAATGCAACATTAACCGTTTAACTCAAATACCTAGTCAAATATATAATATATTTTCTGTTTGCTATAATTATTTTCACATATTTTGTCATTATTAAGGTTTTAAATATAGTATGTTCTGCATGTTTTTAAAGCTTATGAATATTATTATTTTGTTCCTATATAAAGGATATTAGTATTCTGACAATGTTTTTATGTAAATATGTATAACTTATTTTCAATTGATTACATGTCATTATGTACAAAATCGACATATTATGTTGATTATTGAGATATAATATGTATGTTGTAGGTATAAATGTATGTAATAATTTGTCTACGAGTTTGTGTAATAAATCATATTTATAATTTTTATAATTAATAATTTAAAACATTTGTTTCCATTTATTCAAAGAACTTGAAAGTTAAAATATATTTTGGACGTATACATATAGTGGCGTAAATGCGTAGTGCTTACTTGGACAATTTAAATATTTGTATGTAAATTAAAATACAATTAGTATTAAAAAAGTATTTTTAAGCATTAATTTTCACATGGTTTTAAAATATTTATCGTTTCTAAAAATGTATAGGTATTTAATATTTATGCTACAGTATTTTTTTCAAAGAAAGTAAAATAAACACTAATGAAATAGGGTGGTAGTAAAATATTATTTAGTAAGTACATACCTATTGTTAATTATTATTTATCTTTTATCATGTATTCATTTTCAAAGTATTTTAGTTACCTATCTACATACAAATTAAATATAAACATGATTACCGTGATTGTTTTGTTTCCCTCACAGATCTACAGAATCGGGTTGTGCAAGCGAGTTGGTATGTTGCCGAGTACAAGGTGATTTTCCTTTACCGCCAGTGACCGAATCTTATATACCGTCGTCTGAAATACCAGAAATTAGTTCATCTACTCAGGCACCATATATTGAGAATAATAATAAGCCATGTACATGTGTCTCCAGAAATCAATGTTTACCACCAAGTTCAAATATTAGGTAATCATTGGTTGGCATATAAGAAATACCTTACTAAACGTTATAATATTATTTTAAATTTAACATGTATTATTTATTACATATTAATTTAATATTATTAGACGGGAAATTTAATATTTTTTCTAATAAAAAGATCATAATAAAAGTATGAGTAAGTACTATGTCTTTATATCTAGAGCAGGAAGTTGCAGCAGCAATAAAGTATGTTGCATAAATGAATATGTCAATATCGGAACAACTCAGGAAACACCTATTACTGGCGATCCCGCCAATAACAATGTTCGTAGTTGTGGTATTGGTAAGTCACCGCCAAATACCATAAATTCTGATAATATAGGAACCCGTATTATTAATGCCGAAGGTACTTTTACCATTTATTTAAAACTTATACAACACAAAGATAATTTGTTCAAATAATATAAGTACATATTTGTTTTTTGTTTTATTTTAACAGATAACTCAAACACGCATTTTGGTCAATTTCCGTGGATGGCTGCTATATTAAAAACAGATATGAATGAAGAGACTGGTATAAAAACTGAAAATGTTTTCCTGTGTGGTGGTTCATTAATACATCCACGAGTCATACTAACTGCGGCGCACTGCGTCAGGTACCTACTCAATTTTGTTATTTTTTTTTACAATCAAAATTCTAAATAATACCACTGAAGATACCTTAACCATTATAAGTTATAGGAATTAATTTTTTTGAAAATAATCTCCTTGGCGCCAGCCAAAATATTGTTTTTTTTTTCATTTTTATAATGGGTGTTTTTCCTGAAAATCACTTCGGAACCGTTTTTTGTCGATCAAAGTGAGATGGTTTTTGTAAATAAAAATGTCCACCCTCTTAAAATCGAAATACTTTATGTCTTTATCAACAATGATAAATCAACAATTTTTTCTGAAATTTTAAGTTAACTAAGTTTATATGTAATCGTATTAATAATATCCATACCTATGCGGCTATGCTGCAGTAGAAGTAGAGTTATATATTTTTTAAATAATTGTTTTATTGTATGCACAAAATTAATGATTATTTAAAAAAATCCTCTAGGACAAAAATCAAAACCTACTCAGTTACATTGTTTTATTGAAATGCGCTAATATTTAACACCGAGGCGCTTATAAAAATATGATATAGTCAATATAACTAAACAGTAGATTTCATTTTTTTTTTTAAAACAAATTTTTAAATCTTCATTTTACAAAAATAATGTTATCTTAAGTCATACATCTTTATGATTTACATAAATCAATTTTATTTATTAAGTGAAGTACCTACGTAAGTCTTAAAATCAAATTTCTATTCTTCTATTTTATTTTATTTTATTATTACAATTATAATATTACTTTAATAGTATAAATTAAACTTAATTTTAATTTTAATTTTTTTGTATTATTACATAGTAAAGAAATACTGTATCAATAATTATAAATGAAATTGTTTAATTGTTTATACATTATATTATTTTATTTTTCATACAACGTTCCCCGGCGATTAATAAATAATCAGTTTTCTTAAAAATCTTAAACATTAAAACTTTTAGAAAATGGTTATGCCTTTGGTTCTTTATAAATACTTAAAATAGGTACGATTGTACAAAATATTATATTATACTACTATTATAATAGGTATATTAGATATGGAAACACGTAACACATACGAATATTGAATAGTACCTACCAACATTAATAAACTGCAAAAATAAGAAATTCAACGGTATCCATCAGTTAATATGAACCGCACAGTTCAATAAACAGTATTATTTTGAATTATGTATGTTAATTGTTCAACAACCTTACCTATTTGTATTACTTTATTAATTACAACTGTTATTTTTGTGTTATTTGATGAGTCTTTTTAATTTCAATTGTTTGTGTTTAATTTCTGTTTTTTTTTTTAAATAGAGGTAAGGATGTGAAATTGATGAAAGTACGAGTCGGCGTGTGGGACACCCAGTCCAACAGTAACGAAGAAGATAGAGAAAAGTCGCACGAAGATCGTGGTGTTTCAAAAGTAGTTTATCATCCAAATCATAATAATGGAACTATGTACAATGATGTTGCGTTAGTCGAACTCGAATCTGAAATTACATTACATCCACATGTTAATGTTATATGCATTCCTAATAATGAAAAACAAATTAACTACGACCCTCAATCGTGTGTATCGACAGGATGGGGTAAAAATGGATTCGGTTAGTATAAATTATTTAATGATAATATAATAATAGTACATTATGACACAACTTGAGGTCCCGAGAAGATATTATGATTCATGGCTTATGGAAAAAAAAACACAGAAAAATTGATTTACATAAATGCATCTCTTTAATGATAAACTATAATAATAATATACATGTTCAAGGTGTGGATCTACCTTGTACACGTCTACATAGACCACTATAATTACTACTGCTCAGCGAATTATACGCGTATAACTGTTACCTATCTATTATTGAATGCAAGTACGCAAGGCCGTATCTAGAGATAAGCACGGTAGAGAAAAGCATAATCACTGAAGTGAGTGACGCACCATTACTCGGTAAAATAGTTTTGACTTCTGATTGTTAAATGCAACTAAAATTATCCATTCAAACTTTTTTTACCATAATATTTTGAATATTCGTTTGTGTGTATATGCCTAATATATTACGTATATGATAATAGATATTGAATGTCTGCTGCTTTCCATCGATAAATGTGTATTAATAATGGAACATTTTTTTTATGAATTCCGAATTAATTGTTATAAAATATAACATAAAATATTATTCAGTTAAATATTGTAAAAAACCATTTTTGATTTTAGATTATGAGTGGAACTATGAATGTATTAATTTTGCAATGGTGTGTGTGGTTTTATTTTTAAAGATTCTTGGCATTTTCACCTAATGTTTGTTTACACTAGTAATTTCTATGCACCATAAACATTTCGAAATATTGCAATTTTTTTGTAGCTATTTGTAGGTGGAAATAAAATTAATTTTATTAATTTTTTAAAATTATTCTCAATAAAACAATTTTTGCTTTTTTAAAAAACTTGAAAATGTAATACAACGTCATCAGTTAACCCATAAGTTGTTGTTAGTGGAAATTAAAAAAAAAGTTGAGCGTAAACCCACAATAAGGTTTTATGAACGTCTAGAGTTTAAATGTTGATATAATTAATCAAAATCACGAAAATTTGCAAATTATTTCGAGGTGGAAATTCATAAAAAAATGTTCATGGATATATCTAATATTTGAAATTTTTGTATTAGATTATCTTAAGTTGTCTTAGATTCAACAAAAAAAAAGTTTACCAGAAAGTCAAATTAATTTTTTACGATCGTTAGACATAAGTTAGACTTTGGATATGCACCAGTAAATTGATAAGTCTAATGCAACGATTTTTTAATTTTTTTGTCATTTAAAAATTATTAACCATAGGTTCTTTTAAATTTATTAAAATATTGAAAATGCTCAAATTATTTGGTTGTTAAAAAATTATAAAATGTTCAATTTTTATAGCTAAGAATTGAACATTTATAGTTTTTACTGTAACCAATAATTCTAAAAAATATATAAACAGTTATTTTTATAGAGATTTTAAGTTCTACTTTTAACGATATCATGTACGTATTAAAACCAAGAATAAAGAAAAATTAAATATATTTTAGAATTAAAAGAGGTCCTTTTAACTCCATCTGTATACAGTCGACAGAGCGCCCACATATTAAATTAGGCAGTGGTATTACAACTTAACCTAGTAAAAATAAGCAAGTTATATCTTGTCTGTACATAACATTCAATTTGTTAATGTGAATTGCAAATCTTATGAATCACATTTTTTTCGAATTATTAATATTTCATTGTAATATATAATATCCATACAGTAGACACGATTAATGCTTTATTAACACTGTATTATTTTTCACTCAACAGAACCGGGTAGCCGATATCAAACCGTGTTGAAAAAAGTAGACTTGTCTCTCGTGCCCAACGATTTGTGCCAGCAGCAATTACGGAGTACGCGTCTTGGAAACTTTTTCCGTTTACATGAAAGTTTTCTTTGTGCTGGTGGCATAAAGGGAGTGGATGTGTGCAAAGTAAGCGATCGAATTGTTTCGTTCAGATTAGCAGTTCATTTATTTAAGTACCAATGTCAATACATTTTTTTCTTATACAGGGTGATGGTGGCGGTCCGTTAATATGTGCAATGAAAGGATACCAAGGGAAGCCTAAGAAATATATTCAAGTGGGTATTGTCTCGTGGGGTATTGGGTGCGGTGATGAAAATGTACCCGGTGTATACTCGTCGGTAGCGGTTAATTCTCAGTGGATCAACAAGGAGCTTAAAACGATAACATCACAATAAAAACGTCGCTTTTTTCCAACCGCTGACATTTTAATTTATATTTTTATTACACTGACCGAGTATTTTTCGATATATTATAACATGATCATAAATATATTACAATTATTTACGTCTTAAAGACAGTTACCTTCTTTTTTTTTTGAGTAGCCGACAGCACATGACTGATGAGGCTCTTTGTGAACAATACTTCTCCTCTGCTCCCTCATTGATGTAAACAAATTGGGATAAAATATCACAGCTATTTATCTGTTTGGCTTATATTATTTCAATTCCTTTTCATTCCATAATACAGTTTGTAGAACTGTTCACATTTCATTTAAGAAATAAATATATATTTTTTTTTAATCATCACATTCTAACATGTAATAATATTATGTCTATTTTAATCGTTATTTATATGTTTTCAAAGTAAATGTTGTTTCAAAAACGAAACTTTGTTGAGGTACGCGATAGGTAATTGTTTTTGACGTTTTTGTATAATTCATATAATTAAATATAATATTATCGTTAATACGGAAATGCAACCACGATATTTAAAAAATAACTTTAATACATAATAATATATTCAAATATTAAGAACCCAGCAAAAGACTCACGGATTATTCTTAATATTATATATATTGTGTTCAGTGTTGTAATATACTATTATACTAATAATACGATACTGCAATTCAGCAATTTAGGTAAGTTCATCGGCTTTCGGGTATAATAGGTTAAGACTATTAAGTCCATTTTTGTCAAAAATTGGATTATTTCACCATGAAATTCTAATTTCAATTCTTAACAAATGGGTGTAATGAGTTATCTCATATCATCATTATAGGCGATGTTATGAGAAAGAGTATTATGCGAAGCACTACAACTGTTGTAGTGTGTAGTTGCTTCGACATTATGAAGATTGATGACAGATAGATCAGCATTCAGCATAATAATTATTAATTGTCATACCGAAAGTCGATGCCTACAGGAATTAGGCATAATAAAAAATAGGACACCATCTATCTCTCGGACTCGGTAATTTGTCATTTATCATGCAAAATAGTGCGTGACTATAAATAAAGTAGGTAGTGAACAGATTCTTGGAGAAGGCCGTCTTATATGGTGTATTGGTGTTATGCTCCCGGTTACATAAGTATAAAACAATATGCCTCAGGGGGACGGAGTGGCCGAGTGGATAACGCGTCGGTCGCAACGCGCAACGTCGCCGGTTCGAATCTCGGTCACGGGTGGCACTTCTCTCCGGGGCAGTCACGGTGTCTGGAGAGAGAGGCCGCCATCCCCCAACCGGGTATGGCAGAAACCTACGGGTGCCCACTAGAAATTCTGCCAAACAAACACACACGTGTTCCATAACCCTACAGTAACCCAACAGTCCCAAAAACCCTACAGTACCACAACCTACAGCTAATGGCCTCAGTTGCCGAAGCTTAAGATCAATAAAAAAAAAAAAACAATATGTAATCATAATCTCTTTATTAATTATTTATTTATTTATTAATTTTATTACTGCCAAATACTCTATATGACTTAAGGAAAATAAATTTAATTTCTATTTAGATATCTCGTCTTTATATGAAGTGCTGTTTGGTTATATGAAACAATAAATAACATAAATAATTAATTCAATAGTTAAAATGAAAAATCTGAGCTAAAAATAAATAAATGATGTATGGCTTTTTTTTTAAGATTAAAAACAAATTTAAAAAAAAGCTGGTAAGTGGATATCATCTGCTGTACATTAGGTGTCTAAGAGGTCACTATAATGGATGGTATTAAATTTGAATTCAATGGTTATCATTGAATACGAAAAACGATTCTGAGCGGAGATGGTATGTCAGTTTGGGAAATTTTATATTGTTATTGGTAGCCGGTAAAATGAATTAATACTATTTTTAAACTATCAGTGATGCTGGAAAAATATTAAATATACCTATGTAAAATTGGGCTGTTTTGAAACTAAATTACAACAAAATGATAAACTTTATTCTTAGTATTATTGTATTAATATGCAATTTTGCCCAAATTTGAACTTAAAATGTCTGTAAAAAATAACTCTATTCATATATTTTTTAGATTTCTTAGTTATGGAAAAAACTGCTTAAGTGGAACCTTGTTTTAAATTTTCAATCCTTAGCTATAAAAATTGAAAAAATTATACATTTTTAACTACAAAATCATTTTAAATTTTAAATTTGATAAATATTGTCAACATTTGAACTTTAAATGCTTATAAAAAAAATTCATGCATATGCATATGAAACATGTATAATACATGTATTTTTAATATTTTTCAACTGCTATTGGAACAAGTTATCAAGAGTTGTATTAAATTTTCTTGCTTTTGGGCCCAACTAATCAAATGTTATTGACATTTATAGAAAAAAAAATTAAAAATTGAAAATGTCCGTCAACAACGAGTCAAAATATTTTGAAAATTTTATCAAGTATATGAATTGATGAAATAAACATTTTGTGTAAATTTCAAGTGTTTACAGTAATTCGTTTTTGAATTGCAACGAAATAAGAAAATCGCTATAAGAGAAATCGAGTAAATATCCAATGTTGTAAAAATTTCAACTTTATACACTCATAAAAATTTAATTTTGTTTTTGATAAAGGTAGAACAATTTGTTAGGAATCTTTTATTAATTTTTTAAATCTTAAATATAAATGGAAAATTTTTTATGAATTTCTAAGTAAATAATATTTATAACTATATTATAGTATGCTAATTTTCATGATTTTTACCAATTTTATCAAAATTCTAAGATTAAATGCTCATAAAAAATTACTGAAGATGTACTCTAAACTTTTTTTTAATTTCCATCAAAAACAACTTACAAGGAACCTTGTATTACATTGTCAAGTTTTTTGACAGAGCGAAAAATTTTTTATCGACTTGTGTTAAAAAAAACAAATAATAATCGAAAATTTCATATGCCTATAACACACATAAAAATATTTTGAAAATTATATGGTGTATAGAAAATGCTTACACAAATTTTCAGTGGAAATTTCATGTATCTGCGGTCATTTTTGTTAGAGATATTATTAAATTACAAAATTATCACAACCATATTGTCTACTTCTTCTTGTACTTTCACTTTTGATTTCATGTCTTCATACCAATTTCCAGCTATAACTGGGAGTCAGGCACTACTCCAATACTCTTACATGAGTCCATACATAATTTATAAACATAAGATTATTTAATATTTTAAACATAAACATAAATCACTTTATAAAAATACTTTTGTTACATCTATACAATTGATCATTAAAATTATCAATTTGGGGTGGAGCTTCAAAATTTATTTTAACAAAACTTATTGTCACTTTAAATTGTATTATAAAATTCTTACTAAATTTACAAATGAATACTAGCACTGAATTGATTTATAATGAATTTAATGTAAAAAATCTTAATTTTAACTATAACTTATCGGTNAAACATAAGATTATTTAATATTTTAAACATAAACATAAATCACTTTATAAAAATACTTTTGTTACATCTATACAATTGATCATTAAAAAATTAATTAATATATTGTAGCCTGTAGGATTCTACATATTAGAAATATGCTTTATACTTACGGTATATCAATTTGGGGTGGAGCTTCAAAATTTATTTTAACAAAACTTATTGTCACTTTAAATTGTATTATAAAATTCTTACTAAATTTACGAATGAATACTAGCACTGAATTGATTTATAATGAATTTAATGTAAAAAATCTTAATTTTAACTATAACTTATCGGTTCTAGTTGATGTATATAAAAATAAAAATTTAATTCCTACATTAGATCATGAGCACAACACTAGATATGAGCAAAATATTAATATACTTGTACCAAATCTTAACCAAGTATTTGGTCAAAGAAGCATTTTATAAACGGGTTTATATTTATGTCGTTCACTAAATATTAATATAAAAAATTATAAACATGTTAAACATTTCAAAAAATATATAAAACAATTAAATTTATCAAATTTGTAAATTTTATTTCTTTTAAAAATTACCAGTTATTCATGTAAAATATTATTATTATTATTATTGTAAATTTATAATTTATTTTCCTCTCTTCGTATTTATGTTTTAATTATCAATCATCAATTATGTTAACATTATTATATATTTAAAATTATCTTATTCTATTAATTAATTATTAATCAAAAAAAAAACATTGTATATATTTTATTTAATCTATAATAACTGTGCCCCCAGCACAAGATTTGCTTAAAGGGGGTACTGCAATATATTAATCTAAATTTTTGTAAAAAATTGTATGATATCCTTATGTTGCAATAAATTGTTTATCTTAAAAAAAAAAAAAGAAATAGGTACTCATACAAAAAAATGTTTATTGTTGGTGACAATTTGTCAGGTTGTTGGAAGGCGGTTAAAACAATTAAAGCAATAAATACTCTACAAGAGTAGTTGGTTAAAGTTTTAAGATAAAGTAAATTGTCACATAATATGTTATATGACTAAAGATGACTATAGAAGTAAAAACATATTACGTTAATTTATTGTTAGAAGCTATTCATTTTACCCTATGTAATTAAACTAGTTTTATTGATTTTATAATAAACTAGCTGATCCCGTGCACTTTGTTGCCCGTTAAAAATGCCAACTCTATATGAGACTAGGTGGTGATAATGCGAGCAGTATATTATGCCTACCTGCTATGGATTGCGGACCCTGCTTGATGAGTAGTAAGTACTTTATATAAATAATATATTAATATGTTTTATTTTGATTTTGATTGCGGACACGCCGATGCGTGGCTATAAATGCAACTGAGCCACCTTGGTAGGCAATGTGCGAAAGTTCAATTACATACATGCCTATAGCCTATACCTGATTTGCCCGATGCAATTGATGCCACGACTGCAAGCAACCAATAAACAAAAAAAATACCAATTTCTACTAAATATATTTATTTTTCTCCTATGACCAATAACAACCGTATATAAACAAATATTTCCTTCGTAAATCTTAAAATCCCTGTTTGAGCAACTCCCCGGGTCGGACCTATAGGGTCTGCAATTGTGAATCTAAACCATCCAGGGCATCACCCAAACATATAAAAAAATGCATTCAAATTAGTCCAGCCGTTTAGGAGGAGTTTAGTGACATACACAAGTACAGAAGGATTATAATATACATATATATATAGATTATAATTTCTATGTTATACTATATTATTATAAAATCAATGCTTCTACTGGTATAACCATA